GGGCGGCGGGCGGCGGGCGGCGGGCGGCGGGCGGCGGGCGGCGGGCGTGGGTGAGACAACTTTCCAATCTGAAAACCACCGGCAGGCGGGAAAAAAGATCCGTCAGACGAACGAGGGGGCTCCTCAAAGGTCACAAGGCGTTTTGGGGGACGGGGAGCAAACGCAAGATTGAGGTTGAATTGGGGAGACAGCGTGGGAAGGAAGGAAGGAAGGGGGTGCGGAGCGGTGTTCTACGGGGGCGAAAGGCCGAGGAGGAACAACATTCTGACACGGTTATGAACCCAAATGGGCCTCCCCCGCCGGCCGAAAAGAAAGGAAAAACAAGGTAGGGAAGACTGTTGGCCAACTGGAAAGTAGACTGAGCGAGGCGGGTGGGCGGGGGTAGGGAGGATTCTGCCCAAGCCAATGGGTGGCGGCAGGGCGGGTGACGTCACGGCCAATGGACAGCCAGCGCGGGACTTTCAATTATTGTCCCGCCCAATCGGAAAAAGACGGTGCCTATAAAGGCTGGTGCGGCGGGCGGCGGCCGCGTCACTCTCGCTGCCGCTGCGCTGGTGAGCTGGTGTCTTGGTTCGCTATGGCTCGCACGAAGCAAACCGCCCGCAAGTCGACCGGTGGCAAGGCCCCGCGCAAGCAGCTGGCCACCAAGGCGGCCCGCAAGAGCGCGCCGGCCACGGGCGGCGTGAAGAAGCCGCACCGCTACCGGCCGGGCACCGTGGCCCTGCGCGAGATCCGGCGCTACCAGAAGTCCACCGAGCTGTTGATTCGCAAGCTGCCGTTCCAGCGGCTGGTGCGCGAGATCGCGCAGGACTTCAAGACGGACCTGCGCTTCCAGAGCTCGGCCGTGATGGCGCTGCAGGAGGCGAGCGAGGCCTACCTGGTGGGGCTGTTCGAGGACACGAACCTGTGCGCCATCCACGCCAAGCGCGTCACCATCATGCCCAAGGACATCCAGCTGGCTCGCCGCATCCGCGGGGAGCGGGCTTGAAAGTGAGCGCCCGGCTCGAGCTTCCATCCTATCCATCCAAAGGCTCTTTTCAGAGCCACCCACGACAACACTCGGAAGAAGCTGTGCCACTTAGTCGTCCGCTTCTTCCCGGCGGACGCTTCCCTATCGCGGGAGGGTGGGACATTAGGGCGGGGTCAAGCCGGGCGCTGCCCACGGGTAGCGTGGAGATCACGCGCCGGGTGGAGGGATACCCCGTTGGCTGGCTTCCTACTGCGGGGCGGCCGGGACCCCCAGTTGTGCTTCTGGGAGACGGCGGTGCCCGTTCGCTTTACTCTGGGCCCTTCGGAGTGGGGGCCCCGGGGGGGGGGGGCGTCTTTACGCGCTCTACTGCGACCAGGGTTTGTAATCTGTAAGAAGGGGAGGGGCTTTCGGGCTCGAGAGGGGGCCGGGTCGGCGAGGAGTCCCTAGGGGGCCGGACGCTCGGGACTCGCCGTCCAGGGCAGGCCCGGGCGGGCTGTTTAGACCACGGGAAGCGCGGGCGCGCGGGCGACCTCCACACCCCCGCCGGAAGTGGCCCCGAGAGGCGCGACGCTCCGGCTGCGGGGGGAAACCGCCACCTTCGTGTCGCCCGGCTTCTGCCGGGTCAAGTTCGGGATCCCCGAGCTTTGCCTGCGGGTTGGGTGTCAGTAAGGGCCCGGCTTCTCGGGTCCGCCCGATTTATTTAGCATGTGCCACTCATTCCCTTACTCCTTCCAGTTTGTCAAAAGTCCCTCGTGCGCCTGAGCGACTTTGCCAGAGGTCTTAAATCCTTGACATTCTCATTGTCCCCAATCTGGCCCCTCCCCCCTTTTCAATGCCAGTGAACCTTAAGGTAGGGAGTATGGGCGGCTCCAGGCAGGAATGGACTAGAGGACAAAGAGGGTCCGGCTTATGTAGCTCGGCACTCAGTTCTGACAGTCTCGTCAGAGCTGCCGCAGCGGGAAGATTCAAAGGCCGCCTTAACCAAGGCCACTCCACGGGAGCTCTGCTGTCGGTACCGTTACCTGCTCAGTCCGCAGCCGACTCCTGTTCGTCCGGGAGAACAACCCCAGATGCAGAGACAGAAAGCTTGGTGCAGGTAGTAGAGAAGTTATCCAGCCCCAGTTAGGGGGGCACCTGGGTGCCTCAGCTGTCAAGCATCTGCCTTCAGCTCAGGTCATGATCCCAGGGTCCTGGGATCGAGCCCTGCATCCGGCTCTCTGGGGAAGCCTGCTTCTCCCTCTCCCACTCCCCCTGCTTGTGCTCTCTCTCTCGCTCACTCACTCTGTGTCTCTCTGTCAAATAAATAAAATCTAAAATCTTTAGATAGACAGATAGAGAAAATGTCATTAGGATGTGCCCTAATGCAATATGAGCAGTGTCTTTTTTATAAGAAGAGGAGACCAGGGGGCACCTGGGTGTCTCAGGCATCAGGCTCTTGGCTTTGACTCAGGTCATGATCTCAGGGTTGTGAGGCAGCTCTGCGCTCAGCAGGGAGTGTGCTTGAGTTTCTCTTCCTCTCCCTCTGACCCTCCCCTGCTCTCGCAAGCACAAGCTCTCTCTAAAATAAATAAATAAATCTTTAAGAAAACAAAAGAAGAGATCAGGATACAGCCAACACAGAGGGACAACCATAAGAGGACACAGTGAAAAGGCAGCCATCTGCAAGCTGAAGAGAGGCCTCAAAAGAAACCAAACCTGATGACAAAGAGATCTTGGACTTCCAGCCTTTAGAACTGTGAGTAAATAAGTTTCTGTTGTTTAAGCCACCCAGTCTGTGGTATTTTGTTAGGGCAGCCCTAGGAGATCAATACAGGCTCCGTGGTCCCTGCCCAGGGCCTCATTCCCTGCTCAGACCAACAGTACACGATGGGATCCTCTGTGACTTAGTTAGAAGCTGAAGCAGCAGTGACTTAGAGCTGTGCAGGAATGACACCTTTGCACCCAGCCTCTCACCCACTGAAATTTGTTTTCAAAGGTGCAACCTGAGGAAGCGTTACTTCCAGAGTAATTCCTTCTCAGAGGAAGAGTTACTTCCAGAGTGTCCGAGCCATTAGTGGCTGAGCTGATGCCTGAGCATGCGGATTTCCATGTCGGAGCCCTTCCTTCCCAGGATCATATGCCTTGAACTGATACTAAATCAGATTCAAAAGGAAGATACCAACAACCTAAAATACCAAAGATATCCAAGACCTGCCCGTGGCCCTGAGATTGGATGGCAGCCTATGTGTCTGCCATGGCCTAGCTTAGTGGGAATGGCTAGGATCTGCCTTCACCTCTCTCCTCACATTTCTACCCACTTCTCTTCCTCTCACCACAACAGTGGAGTGCTCACTCACCAAACTCAAAGATTGCAGGGTGTGGAAGGAAAACAGTGAATGAAAGCAGAAGAGGAAGAGCACTGGGGAATTGGGGCCTGGTCCCTTACTGGTATTGGACAGTGGAGGCCCTCCCTGGTTGGTCTTAACTGGTTCCCTTGTCAAAGGTGAGACACAACTGGCAGGTCTGGGTCTTGACAAAGGAAGGGTTCTCTCCTCAGCCTGACTGAGCCCCCTACCCTCACATAGGGTCAGCAAACCACAAGCAGTGCAAACAGATGTATGCAAACTCACTTTCTGAGGAAGTGAGGCCTATTAACTCAATCTTTCTCATGCAGCAGAGGGTCAGGTCTTGGCAGGACATTGCTGCCTTACCTCAGCAGCCATCTTGGAGATTTGCCCCACAGGGTTAGGGCAACAAAATCTGATTCTCACTGTGAGCATGTTCGGGGAGGACTATAAGGAATTGTCCGGTGCCTTCAAGGGCTTCCCAAACTACCACAGGCATTTTAGTGACAACTTTGACACCTGTTTGGTAGTAGGACAGAGTTGACATTCCTGCTACTCTTCTGTGAAATCCAAACTTCTTAGGAAACTTTGGAATGACTTTGTTGGTTTGAGAAACTAGGGTGAGGTAGTACCAAAATTTTTTTATGTCAGTATCAAAATCTGCTTTAGGTATGTACCCACCTTCAAAGTAGTCATAAAGAAAAGAAAGACAAAAAGTAATTCATGTGCTCTTCAAAAGTCTCATCGTAAAATTTGAAGGAAAAGAAACAAACAAAAGTCTTATCATGTCCAACCTGGTTCCTGGAAAAGTCTGCCATGGAACTGGTATTGGGTTTGTTTTTGTTTTTAAATTTTATTTATTTATTTTAGAGAGAAAGAGAGAGAGAGCGGGTGTGTGCTCTCATGGGACAGAGAGACAGAGGGAGAAACTCCCAGACTCCATGCTGAGCACAGAGCCCAACAAAGGGCTCAGTCTCACGACCCTGAGATCATGACCTGAGACAAAACCAAGAGTCTGATGCTTAACCAACTGCATCACACAGGTGCCCCGGGACTGGTATTGTTAATTGGACTTTGGGTCCTTTAATCAGAACTAGTGGTGGCCTCAGCTATGGCAGTGACTAGGAGAAGACAGAGATGAATTGATGGATTGGAGGGAATTGTAGAAGGGTAAATTTGGTAAGATTTGGTGATGTAGGCATTTGGAGAATGGGAGAGAGGAAGGAGCTTCTCCTTGATCTGAGGAACTGGGAGATGATGGAAAAATTCACTACGGTGAAGAAATCAAGGAGAACAAACTGCTTTTGGAACCAAGAAGACATTGATGTTGAAGATCCCATTAACCATCTAGAGGGACACATTCACCGGGAGTTAAGAATATTAATCTATTCAGTGAAGGGGCTCAGCTGGAGATACTCTGGGGGAAGCCCTTAGCAGAAGGATAAGGCAATAAGGACTGACAGAAGACGGGGAATTTGGTGAGATCTAGCCGGGGTCCGGGAGAGGAGAAGAGCACTGAGGCAGCCGGAGCAGGGATGGGGCTAGGAGAGGAAGGGAACGCCAAGAAGCAAGGATAGCTGGAGCCCGACAGGACCACCAGGACAGCATTTGCCCAAGGGGGCAAACGTGGTAGCAGCAGGGCCATACTACGCATGCCATTCAGAAATGATGACAACCACTTGTGTTCGTCAAGTTCAGTCACTTCTGACTAAGCGTTTTACTTCATCTCTTTTAATCACCATGACCATCCTGCAAGGCAGGTGGGGGTTTTATCATCATTTTACAGACTAGGAAGCCTAAAGTGTTTTGCCTCAGCTCTCCCAGCTAGTGAGTGCCATGGTCAGGGGCTCCGACCAAGGTGCTGGGACTCCAAAGTTCACATTCTGAAGTCGAAAACACCAAGCAAAGAGCACATATTGGAAGCTGAGAGGGGAGGCAACAGGAAGTTCATGATGCACAGGATTGAGGGCCTCGCTGCTTCAGCGGACTCATTTCTACCTGCTTACCCATAGGCCACCTGGCTCCACCACTATCAAGAGGGAAAAAATTTCTACCCTGTGCCAGAGTTGAGCTTTACACTCTTTCCATCTCCTCCGCCCTATTATCCTCCACATGAAATGCATGCCCATGTGTCGTGATCAGTACGAAGAAGCAGAGGCTACGTGCAAGGCCACAGACTTGAGTCTGAGTCCTGGCTCTGCCTGTTACTATGACACTGTGGCAAGATGCGTAATCTTCCCAGGCCTCAGTTCCTCATCTGTAAAATGGGGATACCAGTACCTGCCTGGTGGTGGTATCTGGAGACATTTAAGGAAACAATTCCCATAAAGTGACCAGCACAAGTCTGATCCAAAATAAACAATAGAAAACAACTTAATACAATTATTAGCTATTCAGAAAAGTCGAAACAGATTTATAAAGGTAAATACCCTTACAGTTCCTAAATCGCAAACCTTCCCTGGCTTTTCATTAGATGTTCATCAGCCATTCCCCTATCTGCACTGGTTTGTTCTTGCCCGACCCAATGTCTGCAATTCGCAATTCCTCCCATGACTTGGCATAACCCTTTCTTCTGTCCAGATATGTTCGCCTCCTTTGTGGACCTACTGTTTAGTCTGTACAATTCAGCCCTTTGAAGCTTTCCTCATGTGCCCCCCGCCCCACAACCCCTGCTCCTCCTTCTCAGACCAACTGCACTTTCCCCAGGTTCTAGCAAGCATATACTCTCTTCTGGTTTTAACAGTTCCTCCAGGTTTAATTTATCCTCCCAGTTCCCCCA